CTGCAGCGGAAAACCATTAAATTGTTACACAGTGTCTAGGTACACGCTAACTTGTACGCAATTCAAAAATTTATATACACGCGAAACGTCTTGACAGAGGCCGCCACCCTACGAAAAGTCGTAGCTTCGTTTTCTTGTTGTCACCGCATTATTTATTATTTGTTCACGCATGTGAAATTTGCTTCTAAGTTTTATAAAATACTACTGTGCTATAGTCTATTTTTATGTATGAGAGAGTATTAAAATAATAAAGCGTTCGTAATCCATAGGCGTATCACTTCTTTTAGTAGACAGTTAAAATATTTTATTACCTAGGCCAGATACCAAAAATATGTTCTGTCTTTTCTTCAGAAGCTCTTGCTATTGAATCGGCCTTAAAATGGCTCCTAGAAAATAAAAGTTCAAAAAACGCGGTTATCTTGTCCGATTCTAAATCTGTCCTAGCAGCATTACATAACTTAAATTATTTTAAAATGTATAACTCTACCCATCTATGTAAAATAAAAGAATACTGCTATGCTTTACACTCGGCTAATGTTAATGTAGTATTTGTGTGGGTAAAAGGTCACTGTGGCATTGTTGGGAATGAAATAGTTGATCAATTAGCCAAACAAGCAACACTATCTTCAAATTTTATCAACATTTCCTTCTATGATGATCTAGTCAGCACAATCAAAAACCAAATACGTCTGGACTGGGAGAAATTATGGATAGATTTTACATCATCATCCAAAAATCATTACGGTACTATACACCCCTCTTTACCAACAAGAATATCACATTTATCAAATTATAATTTACCCAGAAAACATGCAGTCACCATTACACGTCTAAAATTCAATCATGGAAGATACCCTGCTCATCTTCACAAAATTGGAATAGCACCATCTCCGCTTTGCGAATGCGATAATCTTTCGATATGTGATATGAACCACATTTTATTTTCATGCACTAAACACTCAATGGAGAGTACAGATTTTATCAAAACATTAATTGACTTAGTTTTTACTTTTAATAAGTTCTAGGTTTTCTTTTTGGTTCTTTTATAACATTTTATTTTATTTCACCTCAATAATATCTAAACCATTAAAGATTTTACCAAAAGTCTGTGGCAAATGGATTATGTCCGATGCCAACCACCCCTTCACACACACACACACACACACACACACACACACACACACACACACACACTATCAACAAAATTAATTTCCATAGCTCAAAATATTGTTAACTGCAGAAACAGAAAAACTACTATACAACAAATTGCAGTATTTTTTTTAACAATTTGACATAATTGATCTCGACATTCTTTTTGTACTTTTAACTGATTTATAAAAACAGGTATCCACTAAACGGACAGTTGAATTTATGTTTTGTTTGTGTTTTTTGGAACTTGAAAAACAAAAACAAAACTAAGACAAACCCAAAACTCTTGTTTCCACCAAGTGGGCTACATTTTGTTCCAGTTTTGTTTTTGTTTTCGGTCCTTTTCCACTGATTGTCGCGAAGAAGTCGGAACACATTTTTCAATATTTTATTTATATTTGTATATTTATTTTTGTAAGATCGGTCCAACCTAAAAATACATATAAAAGATGTATGTGACATCATAAAAACCTAAAAAGGACAATATTGGGACAACATAGTCTGGCTCTAACACACAGATATATATTCTACCACATTAACGCAGTTCTGTCGCGTGGTCGCGTGGTCATTTAAAAACATTAAAAGTATTGCCGCGCGCGACATGTCGCGTGAGTGGGCTTTCCCTCTAAAGACATTCGAAGTATATATAAATTAAAATAGTTGTGTTATAAAATAAATAAGTGTTTAAATAAATTATTAATAAATAAATTGTTGTTTGAAAATAAACAAACATCACAATATATTCTTTAAACTGCGATTCTACTAATAAATATACTTATATAATATTGATTAGATTTAATTAGAACTGTGGGCCATGTGGTCTCCCCAGGGCAGACGAGAGGATGGATAACCGGGATAAATTCCCGGGGCCCGGGCACAAGTGGAGGCCTGACAGCTTTAGGTGAGGACGTTTTATTTTTTTAGAAGTGTGCCAAAAAAGGGAGGAGCGCTGGTTTATGTAAAATACAATGTTAGGAGCTTTTTTTTATTTTAATTTTTTTTAGAAATGTGATATTGAAAAACTGTCACGAGTGCCCCACCTGGAAAATCGTCCCGGTACCCGATCTGGCTCTCGGCGGCCCTGGGTCTCCCCCACCTCGACCTTTTCAGATCTATTGTGGATATCCGTTAACCATTGTTTAGAATACCTTGTCTAATTCGGACTTTTGCAGTAGACTCTATAGACTGGAAAGTATTTCTCCGGTATAGCTAGTTGCCCTTGGTTTTTCTTCTCCAAGTATAAGGAATCTCAGTCTTGCTAGACCTTAGTGGTAGCATAATACGCGTTCTGCCGTTTCCTCCTCTTCCTGACAGAATCTGCACAGGGTATCTTCTGTCACACCGATATTATACGTACCTATGTTTGTTAAGCCTACAATGCCTTGTTAATAGGTCTACTAGTACTCTAGCATTTTTCATATTAAGGCTTAGTATATGCTCGGTGAGTTTAGACTATGATTCTTTGAGAATTCTTTGAACTGTCTTTGTCCTGATGAGATTTTCCACACTGAGATTTTTTAAACATCCACTGCTTTGTGCATGTTCTGATAGTTGTCTTTGTGAAACCACAGAAGAGTTCTGGACCAATAATGCCTTTGAGGCTCCTTCTCAGGCTAGTAAATCAGCCTCTTTGTTGCCCTTATCTCCTCTGTGGCCTAGTACCCAGGCTAAGATTAGTGTGTTTTGACTACCCAGCTCTGTTAGGGCTTTATAGTGGCCTATATAATGTATCAACTGTTTTAAAATAATAAAAAGATAGTTTAATTTATTTATAGATTATTTATTTAAAACACACTATTTACAATTTATTAATGACGTACTAAATAATTTATATAATACTTAGTCACTCACTCACAATTCTAATTTATTTATTGCAATTTAACTTCTCTGTCCAACACTTTATTCAAAACTACTAGTCCGTCTTTAAACTGGCGCCAACTCTGTAACCAGAATACTCTGAGCTTTCCAGACGCTTTCGAATGTCACCCGAAAAACACACCAGTCTTTAAAAAGTTTGCGAAAAGTTGGAGTTTTGTTTTTTCGCCATAATACGTGTACCATTACAATCTGTAATGTTAATATAGAATGGACTGGCCCGTAATTTTAACATCTCCAAACTTATATTTTGAAATATAACTATCTCAAGTTATATGCTCGTAATAGAGAATTCCTATAAAATTAATCGTGACTGTTCAATAAATGTGTAAGGTATCAGAAACACTTCAGGCACTACGGTTCCCTTACTAATAAATTAGAAGTTTTTCTAAAGTCTTCTAGTTTAGCTGGTATAATGAAATACTTGTATATCATTGTATCTTCCATGTAATCGATTAATTTTGTTGTTTTTAATTGTTTGACACCCTGTAACCTACCGCACCCAGGTACCTTCATAATTTATTAAATTTAAAATTATTTATTTAACGAAAAATGTCTCAGATAATTAAATCTTATTTACGACACCTGATGATAAATAATATCTATAACCCTGTCTGTATGATCTCTAATTTTCGTGCACATGTCTGGGAACCACTGTACAACATAAATTTTGTCACGAAGTAATAATCATTGAAACACTTAACGCACTTATTTTAGGTTAGTTTTGAATAGGAACGTTGTTTTCGAGACACAAATTTTCAAGGCAAGCAATAAATCGACCACCCATTTTCTATCCACCCAAATTCGTTCTCACCAGAGTTACGACAAGTATACGTCACAAATAGTTATTAAATCGGGTATAAATACCCGATTCCGTGGGAATTGAGATTCATTCATTAAGAAAAATGCATTAAGAAATCAAACTCAGTTCAGTTGAATTCAAACCACAGTCATTCATTACTTTTAAATCTAGTATAATTCAAGTTCAGTATCTAGTACCTTTCCTAAATTGATGCACTTCTTACCCTATCTCCCATCGACACTCCTACGTTGCGACGTTATACGTCCCGACGACCTATCTCCCGTTGTCACATCTCGACACAACGTTCCGACATCATGTTTTTTGTCCGACGATGTACCTTCCGATGCTCTATATCCTATTTGACGCACTACGTCCCTACATCCCTATCTTATACGCTTTTATACGACGTTCTGCGTCCCGACACTATCTCTACCTCCGCCTCTCTACATTCCGATGCACAACGTCCCGGTGCTCCACGTCTCTATGCTCCATTAATATTTCCAAATCAGCAACCCTTCCTCGTATCAACAACAATAAAAAAACGTCAGAATCAGATGGTGATTCAATAATTTATTTATTTATTATTATAGAAATATATTATTCATTAACGTCACATTTGGGCCACTAGATAGACACGTCCCAGTATGCATTTGCCGTTTTATTATACCAGCCTAAAACTATTAAAGAATTTAGTCTACCGAAGTCCCAATGCATCCTCACTAATAGCTACTACACTACTATACTTCGGACGTCTGGACTCACATCTTACACAAACTTGCTTGATGTCACTGCAGGGTTAGAATATCTTAAATAATCATCTCTCAATCTTCGCACCGTAGGTAGATCTGAATATAAGGGGTAGTTCGCTGGTATTGATCCGGCTCTATTATAGTAGGACTACACTTTATACTACATAATCCCCCTAGGTGAGGCTAAAACATAAGGGATATCCGTCTATTATTGCAACGACTGTATCAAAGTAAGCTATATAAAAAAGAAACGACGAAACAAAGAATTATTAAATATAGTAAAATTCTGAGAACGTCTGCTGTATATCCTCAAGAATTCTTCAACAGTATATATTTAATGGCAATTGGCATGTGGCCTGTTTGTTTGGGCGGGACACATGTGAGGTTTTGGTGAGAAATATAATTTCTCATTCTCCAATTTAAGTAATGGTATCGCTAATTTATTTGAGGATAAAATAAATAAGTTAAATATAATTTGAGTTTTATTTCATTCTCAAATTTGTACCAAACTTTACATCGAATCCTGGTTTACCTTAGATAACATTATCACAACGTATGTATATAAATTATCAATTAATTAACTAGACGATCACTGCTACTAGAAAAAAAAGAGGCCAAGTACAGTAAGTATGAATTACTTTAAATTTCACAAAAGGAGAGGGAGGTAGTTAAAAAAAATACGGGCTTTTAAATAATTAAGAAGCGACCAGGGGGTGGGCGGTTACAATCCAAAAATTAAAAGCGCTGACAATAATTTTTTAATGGTTTATTATTACAGGTACAAGTTACAGTAGAAAATTAAAATAAAAATTCATATTTCAAAACGACATTATTAATTATTCTAGCAACAATATACTGATTGATTCTCGATGAGTTCCAATTATTCGTTTTATGAGAACCAGTCTGAACCAAACGTTTAACTATTTCGGTATAAATTTACAGGACTAAATTGTTTTTAATAACTTTGAATTACACTGTTTTAATTTGACTCCAGTCATAAGGAAATAAATATATGTCTCAGAGTAAAGAAGTACAGAGAGGACAGTAAATAATGTTTGTGTCGCCTTGATAATATGGTCGAGAATCGCATCCAAAAGTTCTAATTAGAGAGAAATAGATTGATATCTCTATCTCTGTGTTTATTTTTCGAGTTATTTTTAAACAATTAAGTTTTTACTTATTTGTACTAGGAAAAAGCTTGTGTTTTATATGGTTTCAAATATAAAAGAAGAAGTGAGGTTACGTTTCTCTCGTTAATATTATTTCTTACCAAAGGACATGGGCGTTGTTTTAGGAGAAAAAAGGAAAATGAAATATGAATATTAAAAAAATAAAATTGTTATTTTATTTAGTTTTCTAAAAGACGAATTAGAAGAAACTTATGGTTAGAGGACTAGAATGGACTAAAATGTTAGCAGTTGAACGAATATTATCATTTGTTCAAGGTACTTTCTAAATAATATCGAGCACTTTTAAAAATTGTATCTTTACTTTTTAGTAACTTTATATTACACAAACAAAGCAGGAAAAAGAGAGTAGCAGTGAACCTATGTCGCCTCTAAAAATAAAAAACTAGAAGGTATTGTGTTTAATATATTTGGCGAACCAATAATGTTTGAATGTTTTTAGTATAGTAATTTGATTATGGGCCATATATACTTCTTTAAAAGTATTAAACTTGCCAATAAATAAAATAAGTTTTAGATTGAACAAAAGTACCTCATACACTTCAATATTAAGTTCAAGGTCTGACTCTGAAACATTCATCAACAAAATTTGAGTCACCATTAATTAAGAAGTAAATCAAACATTAGAATTAATCTGAGCTGATACATTGAATTGTATTTGAATACTTATTTCAAAAAACCTAGATGTTTTGGCAACTTTACATGTTTTGTTGCCACCAGAACTGCTTTAAACTGATGAAAAAGAAATAAAACATTACAATTTAAGATGAGTGAAAAAGTATGTCTGCAATATCAAAATTAGTGCAGAATTGCCGATTTGAAAAGAAAAAAAATATGTTATTAAGTTTTGGATACATATTGTATATTTGTACATGGTCTAAAATATAAACTATCATCAGTAATATAAGAATATTTATTTACCTAATTTAAATAAAGAAACTAGATAATTTATATTTTAACTGAAATACTTCTACTTATGCTAAATAGGTAAAGTTTGTTTTACTCTCATTAGGTATATTTTTTCATGTTTAAATTAAATGCTTTATTATGTATTTCTTTAGTTCTACTATTGCATAGGTGTCCAATAGGTATAGATATTTTATGGAATTCCAAATCCTTGCTGTAAACATAAATGTTTTAGAAGCAATAGAATATTATTTGAATTAATATTTTATTTTTTGATATGACAACTATGTCATATTTTGTTTTCACTTCAATAAAAACGTACCTATCTTTTAAAACAATATTTTTTAATTTTTTCAGCTACTTTCAGTCACTATTTTCACATTTAAAGTAACCCAACGCAGTTTTACGTACGCTACTGCTGAAGATTCCAATATGAGCGAGAGAGCCTGCATTAGAAAAAAGAAACAATGATTTTATTATAGCGACATCAACATTGTATAGATTTATGCAGTGGTAACCTATCTGTACATATATTATCTAAGATATATGTCTCCATAAAATAGAATAACATGGCAAACTCATTATTCCAAAGCTTTATTTAGCGAAAGAAAATGCAATCTTTCTTTTTTTCTTTCTCAATAAATATATCTGTTATCGCCCAAAAGGAGTAGTCAAAATTGATATAGGTAAGTATTTGTTACATTACAACCGAGTCTCGTAATATGATTGTCTGAAGTTTAGTGATAATATTCCAAGTTAAAAAGTAACAAAAGAAAACTTAAGAGTCTTACACAATAAGCACTTCGAGTCTATAAATAATTATCAAGTTCTCGAAGACTGCTTTTTTATTGTTACTATTATTATTATTATTGCCATTTTTAGTATTACATACTTATTAAATAAAAATTAGTTTTTGGCATAAAATATATTGAGGTTGAAAGATATAGGTTTTTTAATTAAACTATTATATCAGATACTCGTACTCGTAAAGATTCGTCAAATAATTGAGGTTCCATAAATATTCATTATACAGGGTGTCCGGGAAAATGTGAGAGGTCTCTCGGATTCAGATAGAACTAAAAAATAAGATGACAAGTTCCCATATTTTTTTTTCCTAGAAGGACGCCACTGGAAATCAATTTTTCTTGAATAACTTCCAAACTAAGTAATATAAGTTAATGAAAATTTAATTATGATAAACAATAGTAAGAACCTCTTAAAATACTGCCCTTAAAACATAATTAGCTTGTTTAGTTTACCAGAGGTGGACTAAGTTGTACATTTTAATGCTTACATTTTTACAACCCTGTATGATAAGGAGTTAAAAAAAATTAATTTTGATACCTTGAACATTAAGCTAAAGAAAAGGTACTCTTCTTCATTGTCGATAAAATGAACCGTTTTCGAGAAAAAAAAAACATGATTTCCAATTTTTTGTCTGCAGCAAAGTGTGATACGAAAGTCATTGAAATAGAATGTTATCATGTTAACAAACGCACTGTTTTTACAAACGTTACCATGGTACCTACGAAATAACTAAATGAATAATTGCATTGGCGTGTGCATTTTAAATCTTGTTGACACGTTGATCTTTTAGTACTCCGATATTAATTTATTGAATTTTGAATAACTTGGTAAATTTAATTTGATAATGGGATACACATTTAGTGAGTATGCAGATATGCATCTTATGTACGGTCTTGCATCTTGCAATGCTTATAAAGCAAGAAAGTTGTATGAAGAAAGGTATCCTAATCGCAATATTCCAAATGAGAAACTTTTCAGCGACTTGACCAACGTCTAAGGTAGACTGGTAGGCGATTCCCAGTTAATAAGATAACATTATTGACTTTCTTTAATAATTTTTAGAAAGTTTTGGGAAAACAAATACTGATGCTGGTGTGACAAGAACAGTACGTACGGTGCAATTGGAGGAAAATATTTTGGATACTGTAGTCAACTCCTTCAATAAGCACTCGAAGATTAGCCGCGCAGCTTCATGTGTCAAAAACGACAATTGCTGAAATACTTAAAGAACAGTCGTTATACCCGTATCATCTGCAAAAAGTGCATTAACTACTTCCTGAAGATTTTCCTCGAAGAATCCAATTCGCAAACTGGCTGTTAGATCAGCAACGAACAACAGGAAACTTCATTAGCACTATTCTTTTTAATGATGAAGCAGTGTTTACCAAAAATGGTATTGTAAATTTACATAACTCGCATGTATGAGCTGATGAAAACACTCATGTTACTGTTGTTCATCATTATCAACATCAGTTCCAATCAATCAATGTTTGTGCAGGAATAATCGGCAATTTTTTGATTGGACCATGCGTATTGCCACTACGATTGAATGGTGAACTTTATTTACAGTTCCTTTAGAACGCTTTTCTGGATTCAATAAAGCATTTGCCACTTGAAACCGCCGAAGCATGTATTTTATGCATGATGAAGCCCCACCTCACTTTAGCGTCACTGTACGGGACCACCTGAATAACGTCTATCGAAACCGTTGGAGAGGCAGAGGAGGTCCAATTGCCTGGCCTCCACGGTCTCCCGACCTAACCCCAATGGATTTTTACCTGTGAAGTCATCTCAAAACCTTAGTGTATTCCTCTCCGGTTGATACTAGAGAGGAACTTTTACAGAGTATCACTTTTCATTGTCATGTGATAAGGAATAATGCTGGGTTGTTGTAAGGAGTACAGCAGTCCTCTATTCGTCGGGCCTGCGAGTGTATCAAAGTTCACGGAGCACATGTTGAACCCACTTATAAAGTTTTTAATTGATTATTTCTAATTAGCGTATTTGGGTTCAATTGTTACAAGCTTAAATGAGTTTCGGATGAAAACATAATACTCCAAGTTGTATTTTAGAATTTACCAATTTGAAATTAGCCAATTTTGGGAGTTTAATTTTTTAATAAAAATAAAACATTAATTATTTCATTTTTTTTCTCGAAAACGGTTCATTTTATCGACAATGAAGAAGAGTACCTTTTCTTTAGCTTAATGTTCAAGGTATCGAAAGTTATTTTTTTTTAACTCCTTATCATACAGGGTGTTAAAAATGTAAGCAATAAAATGTACAACCTAGTCCGCCCCTGGTAAACTAATCAAGCTAATTATGTTTTAAGGGCAGTATTTTAAGAGGTTCTTACTACTGTTTACCATATTAAATTTTCATTAAATTATATTACGTTGTTTGAAAGTTATTCAAGAAAAATTGATTTCCAGTGGCGTCCTTTTGGAAGCCGTAACTCCGTAGGGAGGGCCGCTAGGAAAAAAATTATGGAAACTTCTCATCTTATTTTTTAATGTTCCGAGAGACCTTCCACATTTTCTTGGACACTGTATAAATAATAGATGTATAATAAAGAACCCTAATTTTTTCATCTAAAGAAAAAGACCGATTTTACTACAAGTTAAACTTCATGATATATATTTCAAATTTCAGTCCGGACCAGTTCTCCAAGCAAGTTAACATGAAAAAGCTAACAATCTAGCCATATAATTTGCACTTTCTAAAAGCATCAATTCTATATATACATACATATTTCTTAAATATGTTCAACATATAATCAACACTAATTTCAAACTATGCTAAATATTAATCTGGTTATTAATGTAGCGAATATAGCCAAAAACGCATTGGCCTTAAATTCGCTTGAAGAATTGCAACCCTCCGAGGTACATTTGACGCACGACACTGTTTGTACTAATCCGTTGTTTTTCTCTTTTACTTTATTGCATATGTCCAGATTCCCTTGTTCGGCCAATTGACAGCCTCGAAGAAAGTAGTCCTTGCCTCCAACTGGAAATAAAAATATATGATATGTCCAAAACATGATATTCTATTCTATTTATTACTGGATTCAGGAAAGTAAAAAATAAAACTTTTTGGAGCCTTCACATGTTTTAAATGAAACATTAATTATATTCCCATTCACTAATCTCTTTGTAAGTGGAAGAATTTGGTACCAATTATGACAAATTTCAGATAGTGGAGAGGAGGAAAAACAAGAAGAGATAAATATAGAAATGAAGATATAAAGCAGAGCTTAAACAAAAACTCAATCGTCAAATCTGTTCGGTTAAAACAATTTAAGTAGCACGAACATATCGTCGTCAATATCACGAAGTGACGTATTATGTAAAAAAGTATGCTCTACAATTTCACAAAATTGCGTATCTTAATTCATTAATTTATTAAAATAGCACGTATCTAACCGGTGTATCTGATAATTTCACGAAGATACGTAACTTTATTAAAAATCTTTAAAACGCTCTCTTGTAACAGTTGTGAAAATCGAGTTACGTCACTTGGTGATATTGAAGATGATATATGATGCAAAGCCTGATTCAGACTCACTAACCAAAAAATATTCTAATAGCGAGTAGGACGAACATGAAATAGGGAATTGCAGAAGAAGTAGCTGAAAAAGCAAAAGAAGAAGAATCAGAAGAAGCAGAAAGAACAGAAAAAGCACTGAAATAAGAATAAATGTTTGCCCTTTTAATGATACAAGTTGTATTATTACAAATTCTTCAATTTTTTACTATTTTTAGCCATTAGGGTAACTACCTTATCTTAGCTATGTAGCCTGAGTTGGACAGTCACTTATTTGATTTAATAGATCAGCTGAAGAAACCTGATAAACATAATTACTTAATTTTAATTTCTTGGTAATCATAAATAAACCAAATTTCATCTATTCATATTGTACAAGAACAAACTACTCTGTCTTTAATTTTATCAATTAAATTTTGTTTTTTTTTTTCGTCCCATTGCTTCAAAAATGACACAACTTAAAATTCACAACTTTTGAGTTATTACCAATGAATACTTTGAATGCAATAGTAAATCAACAAAATTGTCTTATCTTTACTTAGAAATGACTCGTTTAGATGGCAACTGTATCATTTTTGAGGTTTTGGTATAGAGTTGCTTGATAATATCATTCATAGTACATTAAAATAAATATGTGAATTTTGAGTTATGTCACTTTTGAAGCAAGGGTGCGCTTTGTTTGGCTAATTTTTTACGTCATCACTAATGCACCGTTTTAATATGAAGTCACCCACAAAAAATGTTTCTAAATTATCTCGTATCTCTGTCTTTGTCTATTATGGCCTAATTTAAAAACATTTTTTTATGGATCACTTTTTATAATATGTTCCTCTACTCACCTCTAGTGATCATCTTAAGGCAAGCCATTCCTATTCTCCCAGGTTCAGCATCTATGCTATCGACTTCGAACAATTTATGATAAGAGTGATCTATGTGTTGGGCGAACTCTCTGGTTTGTTGTAAAGCTGTCATATCGCATTTAACCAGGGAAATTTGGCTGAGATCCGGCTTGGCGCAATCCTCGTAATTATGGTTGGCCAGACAACTGTAGCACTTCACGCTATAAACTGGAAATTATTGAGTGTATTAGAAATATGACTTCGTTGTAGTAGTTAGAGCAATTTCGAGATATTTATAGCCCATACATCGGAAGATGGAGAAATATGTAAATCATGAGCGGAACATATAGTACAAGAATGTTTCATAAAGAAAAAATGTGTCAAATTAGTTTTTTTTAAATAAAAATATTTTATACAATACGGGAACATAAAATTTTGGATTTATGGAAATTAACACCCCAATTTCCTCTACGAAATTAAGGAAAGCATTTCCATAACCCTTAAATGAAAACAAACATAGGAAAATTTGATAAAATATAAATATATAAAATATTGCCAAATAGTCAAATATTATTTTTTTCAGTTTATTTTTTTTTTATTCCGGTTATCCCCCTCTCATTATTTCTACTGTTAGACGAAATTTCATTTAAAAGTAGTGTGCCGATATTTCCTACAATTTGGTATATTTTTGTCCTAGGCCGTAGTACATTAGCAAATTTGGTTGCCGCAACACTGCTCATTAGGCCACCGTAGGCAATAGCCGCCACAATAACCAAATTGGCAATTTAAAGATATTAGATTGTGACTCTCGCCGATACACATATCTCCACTTTGCAGCATCGGTATGAAAGATGCCACGCCACATTGCATGTTCTAGAATAAAACCTAAGATTTTCCCTTCGTCTTTTCGTATTTTTTTAACGAATTAAAAAATTATGTTTACATCTGTAATTCCAAAAACATTTTTAAAAAGTTACCTATTAGACCGGCAGATAATGACCGATTTAGATGCCCCATTTTCGCGTACAAGCCTCGAAGAGGGTTGAGAATTACATCGATGTTGATTAGAATAAAAGAAAAATTACGAGTGGCTCTTGGGGATAACACACGGAAAATTCGATTTCCGACCCCAAAATGCACTCATACATTCAGGTAATTCAAGAAAATATATTTTTGGGACTAGTGACGGTGTACGTTTTCATACATTCGATGGGCTTGTGTCGAAAAATCTGGTAAAAATCTCGATTTTCTTTAGAAGATTACGCCCTTATTTCAACCCTTTAGTCACTTGCAACATTAAAGCCTTTGGTTTTCCGAAGCCTAGTTCTATTAATTAATCATATAGTGAAAACGGCTTGTGTGGAAAAATGGGCAACAAATAACGTTAGGGAAAATTGAATTTTCCATGTGTTAACCCTAGCAGCCACTCGTAAATTTCTTTTCATTCTACTTAAAATCGATGTACTTTTCAACCCTCTTCGAGGCGTGTATGCGAAAATGGGGCACCTAAACCTGTCACTATCTGACGGACTATATACAGAAACGTCAATTCATAAAAAAATTAGAGTTGGACGATGCGATGGTGTGATTTTCCAATCAAACTTTGAATCGGTACTGTGATTTATTAAAATTTAAATAAATTTAGAGGCCGTTTTCCCAAATAATTGAATATTCGTTAATATATCGATAGAAAAACAAGCAAATTGCTTTTTCAGTTTTTTTTTTGCTCCTAACAAAGTTTACTATCTTTATGCTATGATTTTGTCGTGATTGCTTGAATAAAAAACGTTTTTTTTTTTTTTCGATAAGCGTTTGACAAAAAAGGACGTCCAACCTCTATTGCAAATTGTTTGATTGATAAGTGTTGTCATTGAAGGTGAGTGAAATAGCCATAAATCCTGTTGTTGCGGCACGAATTGTGGCAACTATAGAAAACGGCGAGGTAGTTGTAAGTAAAAGTTATCAAATAGGAAAATGTTACTTCAAATTGCTTCAAATATGTTAACTATAAAGCCAGAGGCCTTATCCTCGGCTATCGTTTTCTAAAAAACGTATATGCTTTAGCAACATGCGAGCCATTCGCTACTGGGCCAAGGATATAGATTTAAAAACTACTCGTTTTTTAACCACTCACTTTCGAAAACGGTTGTCCTGCCTCTTTTTAAATCGCTTTACTTAGTTGTAGTGTCCTACTTTATCGACTGAAACCGACAGGTGTAGTTCAACCGTAAGCGCTTAGCGCACGACTATCGCAGTCAATCAAACTTGTTACCAACTATTTACATGAAATCCGACCCCCGTGGTGTAATGGAAGCCCTACACGCTCCCATATGGCCTGCAGGCTAAAACACACAGTTCCGATCTAAAGGCAAGATTTAATCAGCTCATTTCACTAGTCACTTCACATTAGACAAAAGAGGAGAGTAAAATCGAGCACTTCACGTTGAGTTACGGACTGAATCGATGGACTGTTCAGTTTAAATCTCACAAAAATCGTAACTTGTAGAGCCTCCATAATTCAGTCCATAAGTGCTGGATCTGACTCACATCTGGCCTCTCCTCTTTTGTCTAATGTGAAGATGAAGAGTGAAATAAGGTGATTAAATCTTGTCTTTACATCAGAACTGTACAATTTGGCTTGCGGGCCATATCGTTTCTAGAGCTTTGATAAACCAAATGGTCAAGGCAGTTTCTCATCGAAATAATCTGCAAGAAGAGTGAAATGTAAACGTAAGTGGACAGTTAGGAGGCGACTTCATGCAGCTTCTCGAACTGGGGCTACTGGACCTTCGCTTTCCCATGAACACCGGATTGTAAGGTTGAATTTTGCACGATTACACTTGGCTTGGAGCCGCGTATTGTTTTCCGAGGAATCACGATTTTGTCTTACGGGGTAAGACAGACGTGTAAGAATGTGGCGATGATAAAGCGAAAGATACGCTCAAACGTGTATTGCCAAAAGACTTCCATTTGTTGGAGGCATAGAGAGGCATATCTTTTAAAGCTCGCACGAATTTAGTCTTTATCTAGAATGGAACTTTGACTGCTCATAGGCACCTGGCAGAGGTTCTAGAAGACCATGTTGAACCGTTTATGGTTATTCTTGGAGAAGACGCTGCCTTTATGCATGATAATGCACGGTCCCACATTGCTGGAATAGTTGCTACTTATTTTGACGAGGTTCAAATCACGCGATTTGTTTGGCCTGCTCGAAGTCCGGGTTTAAATCCGATCGAACATGTTTGGAATGAGATGGCGAGACGTTTACAAAGCCATGTGCCGGCCCCCAGAAATTATAGGGGTCTTCGCGACCTACTGGTGGAACAATGGGACAATCTTCCGTGGAATGTAATTCAGAATCTGATTCAAAGCATTCTTCGTCGTTTGCGAGCTGTAATTTCTGCCAGAGAAGGAAATACTCGCTACTGAATTCCTTAAAATTTCTTTTTTTGAAATAAAAGCATATTAAATTAAATTTTTTATTTTCACTATTTTCAATAAACTTTGGACAAACAAACCAAATCACGACAAAATCATCGCATAAAGTTAGTAAACTATGTTACAAACGAAAATAATCCGAAAAAAACTAAAAATTTCTAAAATGAACGAGGTGACCCTAATTTTATGCTCGACAGTGTATGTAAAACTAATTTAATTTTGTTTAGGGGGTTGAAGAAAACAGTTTAATACTATTTTTAGTATATATACAGGGTTAGGCATATTAAATGTTTTTAAAAGATCAGTTTTGTCATTTTTTAAGAAGTCCTAAGGCATAAAAGCAACTAAAACGTCCTCGTATCAAAATTAAAATGCACTTAAAAAAAACATTTATTTTAAAATGAAAATAACAATAATTAATATAATTCTAAACATTTAACTATTCTTCTTGTACTCTCTGAGTTAAGTTTTTTATTGGTATTATTTATCTGGTGGAGAATAAATAATTTCATACAATTGTTTTTAACACCTTTTTTATGTATAGCTGTCATGATACCAGTAACCCATTCATCAGAAATCTCATTTTTCTTCCATATGGATTATATTATCAGCACTATCAGCAGGTTCATTTGCGTGTTAAATTGTTCGCCACAATATTTATTGTTCAAATTCATACACAAGAGAAGAATTATTATTCAAAGAAATTTAAATTAATTTAAATTTAGAAAACATTTTGCAGATTTGAATATCGAACGATACGAACGTACGGACTCCGGAATGGAGTGATGTATGGATTTCAAAGCGATAACGCTGAGTAGTTTTTCCTTGTCTTTGTACTCCGATATAAATGGCTATAAATTAGAATTGTAGGACTAACTTTAAATAATTTGATCGCATTATTCGAAAAGGTCGTACAAATTAGGAGGTGTTTAAAAAAATTGAAAAAGTTAAGGTTTTTTGCGAAAAATCTAATTTTGTGAAACATGTTTTAACAAGTTAGCTTTGGAAACACTGTGTGTTTGTTGTCCACGCTTCAATTTGGCATTTAGATGTAGATTTATTTTACGCAAAATGGTATATAAATTGTAGCCTATTTATATATAATGGTGGAATTTCTCGAATGTTCTCACATTCACCAGAACTTGCTACGAAAATTCTAGACGTTCTTTTACTATAACCAGAACATACGTAGGCGGACCTACCATTTTTTAGAATAACGCATTCGCGACGTTGTTCCAAGATGATTGAAAATTTTGAGATTGACAAAAATAACGTCAAAAGAAGGGGGAGAAAGCACTACTATCTCTAGTTCTAGAGGTAATTAGTCCAACAATACTGTTGTCTAATGAATAAAAATCGCATTGCTTAAATTATGTTCTTTTATTCAGCATAAATCTTTCCATCGGTAACCAATCTATTACGTCATGTGACGGAGCATTAGTGGTAAATTGCAGCTTTAAAAAATGGCCTATAGCTACAGTAATTGTAAGATACAGGAGTGCCTGCCAAAGAAGTAGAGAGGGTTAGAATGATAAGGTACCGTCTGCGCATCCCTGCCGAGTGCAGAAATTATGCATGATTCAACCTTCCACTCTTACTCACATAAATGACAAGTAGGTTGCCCTAAAGCACAGTAAACAAATTCCGGGCTTGGCTTTGTACAGCTATTATGTTCATGTTCAGCTTCGATTTTCGTTTGTGTTGTGGCTGTTGTAAGCTTTTTTGGCGTCGGTTCTTTATTGGCTTGCTTATATTAGTCTTTTTTTGCTTTGATTTCGATTTGATATTAA